GGACACGCACAAACACACACCAAGAAACTTTTTGGGTTTGTGTCAGTGTAGGCTAACTTGAACCCTAATGCGATACGTGGTCGGTCGTGTTCGTCTCATTCTTATGCAGGGGCTTTGATGATAGGAGACGGCTTGCAAGACGCGATCACGAACAAGATAGCATAACCCAAAAATGAACTACATAGTAGGTAATTTACCCGCTCCATGTCTCGAGCCTAGCTGGGGTTTACCAGAGGCATACGGAGTAGACCTGTCTTGATCTCCCTTATTCTACTCTACGCGGGGAGATACCGAAACCCATCCGTCATTCTTGACTGGCGCCGGAATAGGAATTTGTGTTGGTTCTGTGCTGTTTCAATCGTGTAAGCTGTTGGTTGAACATGCAGCTTCGAGCTATAGGCCACCGTCGGCTCTCTTGATTCTCTGCATATTTTTGACAAATACCATGCTCTTACTGTGCATCTAGTATGCATATTGGCGCCTGGGCGCAACTAACACTGGCTTCCATTATAATGTTTTCGTCTCCCAGCCCACATCACGAACCATTCATTTATTGCCGCACATGCATCCCTCATCCTCGCGCTTACGTGCAGACCTCCCTCTTCATACAGTACAGCTTTATCAAGTATACAGTCGGTATTTCTTGCAGATCGCGTCTAACAACCAATATCATAACCTCCCAACCGCCCTTTACGCGCTTGCCAACTGCTCAGCACCAATAAATCAGCACCAAGAGACGCAAGACGCACAACATCACAATGTGCAACCGCATGCAGATATGCAGCCATCATGTATTGCTCACGGCGCTTACAAAAGGGGCTTCTGCACTGTTTACATACCGTATTCAGTATTTTAGCGTCAAGTGCGTGTAACCGAAGGTCTAGAGCTTTTGCTTGTTGTGATTTGCCTGTCTGAGACCCTGCAGCCGCCGTCGCGGTTATGCCCGAGTCGTTGAATCGATAGCGTTGAGGCTATTGAATCAACCCAGTTATTTTCACAACCGGAGGTGCATATTTAATTACAAGGGCAAATTATGCTTTTGGCCGTTGAGATGGTTAAATTACTCCATCGTCTCCTCTGATCTCTTACAAGGAAGGTCAGTTGCGGCATCGCAAAGTCAATCTACCTACCCTGCATCAGAAGTGCTCTGAGTCTGAAATGTGCCACAACTTGATGGCAAACTTTTGTTGAAAGTCTTTTTGAGTTCAAATTAGCAATAATCTTTCGACTCTGTGGCATTAGCTGCTTCGCATTGCTCGTACGCCAGCGACTCGCAGTAGTTTATGTCGTAACTGCGCCAGACATGTGCAAGTTCCACGTCCCTAGTAAACTCTGTACAAATTGACACGGAGCCTCACTCGGTAGATCGGATGGACACGCTGTCACTACAGTACCTAGTCAAACTTTCGTAGACTGGTACTTCAATCAAACGAAGCGGATACCGGCAGTTCGGTAGAGTTTAGACCAGATCGTCGGGAATGTCTTCAGATGTGAATGAGATGAGTTTCGACTGGGCTTACCGAGGCTGCTCTCGTGGCAGGCCGACAGGCTATCGAGGCCACTTGAAGAAGACATGGCCAAATGAAAGTGATTAACTGTGTTGAAAAGCTCCGAGTCCCTAGAAGGTCATGACTGTTATCATGAGTTGTCGAAGTTTTACTTGTCTATGACCTATGTGGACGGAGCATTGATGAGCTTCGACTATCACCTCACCCACATGGCACGAGTCAAGATCCCAATAGAGAGTCGCCCGGCAATTCGCCGCTATGACTGTCCCCGTTTGGACAAAAGAACAGTAGCTGTGGTTGTCCTCTTTAGATTGTGATAGACTCTGCAAGTAACCCTGTAATATAAAGCCCAACAACCTGATATGCGATACATGAAGTTGAACCACAACTCTGCGATTTTCAGTTCATACAAGACTAGAACCTCGAAGAAAAATAATCAACTAGATAGAAACTGGTCAGTGTGTTTGTAGGAGTTGTGCCTTGGGTGAATAAGAACCCAACTCACGTTGGCAATTGAAGTCACGAAGTCTCAGCATGTACCTTACATCTATCGTGAGGCCCTAACTATCCATTATGGGAAGCGGAATCAATACAAAATTGTCTCAAATTGCCAGATTTTCGTTCGATATTCTGCAAAGTTGTTCCGGAGCGTTGTTAGTTTGGGCCTCGGCGGTTCCAACGACTTCCAACAACATCTTGAGAAAGATCATAGAGAGTGTTAAGAACATACTACAACACCAATTATTAAAGAAATAGAGTGCTATTAGAACGGAAAACTTGGGGAGAACTGTAAAAGAAAATGTTGAAACGTGGTTTGCTGCGTGTGAATCTGAGAACATCAATGCTGCAAGAGGACTTCAGACTAGAATCCTAGTGACTACATTCCGAATTTACAAAGGACGCATAACAATCAATGAGACCTTCACTTGGTGAGTGGGATAATTGAGTAAGTGGCTACCTATAAAGGCTAATATACTCATACTTGGCCACCCATGATCTTCACTATTGTGTTGCGTTGCTGAGTTTGAAGAGGCAAGTCCAGCACATTCATATTATTCGGGTCAGAAACATCTCTTTGAGAGACGCAATAAAGAGAAGAGAACAAGGTAACGTAAAGCCTATGTGTAACATCTAGCACAATTTCAATGTGGGATAATAGCCAGCATCAAACTGGCATAATAGACGGAGAAGGACCTTGTTATCCTAAGGATTACCCCAGGATGAGAACCACGTGATGGCTAAAGTTCCCTTCGACATAGAGTTTGTACCTGTACATATAGTACTTACCAGAATGCAATGGCCTTGTCTGGTCACCTCCTCACACTGGCTCGCTTGCTCTTAGATAGCTAACCCCCAGTTCAGCCCTAGGCCGCCAAGCATGACTAGAACCTTGGCGAGATCGACCTTGACCATTTCAAGTTCCTTCTTGTGCCGGACAATAAACAAGACAAGTAACCCTCGCTCACATAGTATCACACTCTTCAGCAATGACGACAAGCCTACGAACAAGCTGATGGGAGCTACACTAGGAACAATATACTGAGTTCCCGATTCGCTGTTCCTGCTCATCACCACGTGGCTTGCTATTAAGGTGCTAATCAAGTCATGTCGTAAACTCCGTGTCAACTCGGACCGAACGTTGGTCGCCGGAGAGATATGTATGTATCCTGCAGAACCTCAAAAAGATGCACTACAACGCACACTAAACAGATACGCAAGCAGCAATGCGTCTGAACCAATAAGGTCCCCTCACAAAACAGGGAAAAGGAACACAAAGCGGCCCTATGTAATGTATACAAGCTGCAAGCTGTCAGTGACACCACAACCATGCTCGACCTCTCACGACGTTCCCCAATGACACTTGCCCTTTCGAATCTGCAAACACCTAAAGCATACGCGCTAGAAGCATCCAAAAGGGGCATCATCTTTCGACCATCCCAGCCGTCCACTTACGAGGCCAGGCCAAATCTGCGACCATGTCAAAAGAGTGTTTCAATATCCCAGGTCCTATAGCATATGCAGATGCACCAAACACGTCATGCAGACATGGTACAAAAGTCCCACAGCCGGGCTTTGTTATAAATCTTTCTATCCTAGACCAAGCACATCTCTCCCCACAAAAGCCATCAGCAAGGGGGTTAGATAGCCTGTTCTTGTTTCTGACAGATGTTTCTGACAGATGTTTCTGACAGATGTTTCTGACAGGACTAACTCCGAAGACTAGGACTTCGATTCAGTTTGGTCGTATCCCGTACCTAGCTCTCACTCCATGTGACAACTCAATCTCTCAACATCAGCCCTATAAACCCCGTCTTCTCACGAGCACATGTCCTCATTCCCCGTCATCACCCGCTCACCGCACACGACCTTGGAGGTAATTTCCTCTCATCTGACGTGAGATCTCTAACTTCTTCCCAGCCGCCTTTATACTATCCTATCCCGAGCAGAAAGAAGCCACCCCTATTCCTTCAAGAGCTTACCGTGCCAGAGCATCATAGGCCAAGAGAACTCGGCACACATCGCCGATCATGGACGCAGGGTAAGCTTAGGGGCGGGCGGGTAAATCACCTGAATTCGGTGAAAGGTGTGTAAGTCGTTGGTTTGATCTTCAGTCCTAGACCTGCATAGGCTGCATGACGCGCGAGTGCTCCCCCTCCCGCACGAGGCTTTGCAACGGCTCTTAGTCTTGGGCGATCTTCTATGTTGTTTCTGCATTTGGTGATCCATTCGGACATCGGGTATCTTCTCTGGGATGCGTCCGAGGCTTAGTCCTACGATAAGCACTTGCAAGGTATGGACTGTGGCAGACTCCTCTGTAAGGCTGACGAGAGCTTCATGGTTCAAATCCCGTGATATGGCCTCGAGGCTGCTTACTTTTACAAGGACTGGAAGACGTGTTCGAATGGCGACCCGAGCAGTCCGAGTCAAAGTCTCCGTCAATTATGGGGCTTTGTTGAGGGCATTCGCGAGTGGCTTTGGGTATAATATCAATGTGGGGCTCTACATTCAGTCATCATGCTACGATGCCTATGTTCTGGCAGAGATAGCAAGAATAAGATATTGTCGTTGAAAGAAAATAGGTCATTATATCATCATGAGCCAAGATCTAAACCTCGACATAATAAACTTTATGAAATACATCTTCAGTTCCATGCGCCCTTAGCCTAATAGCCAATAAAGTAGATGAGTACCTTAAGGGGTATATTATACTGAGCAGTGCAAAACAAAGATCCAACCCAAATCCAAACCGAAAGCAAGTGAGACAACACATCGCTTCAAAACAGCGGCGCAGGCCGCGGTTCATTGAAGTAAGACATGAGAAAAGGAAATTTTTGCCCAGAAGCGCAGTTGTTGCACCACGTCCACCTCTAACATAAGTCGTAAACGGTCGTTACACATGGGCCCCTATGCCGAACCAAAAGTGCCAATCACGTTTGGTCGGAAAAGTCAACTGACAGTAGTACACCTGGTCGTTACGAAAGTGTCAACCCGTCATCGCATCTCCTCAGGCCGGACTGTTGCTCCGTAGAAACCGCCCCCGTGATTGCCACCGGAGGCCGCACATGCAAGGCAGACTCCGCCGCCATAGACACGCGTATGTCTCGTCCATCCGGCGCCTTCGGAGTCCAGAACACCAATGATCTCGCCCTGGACGCCGATCTCCACGGTTCCTGCGTTGGGTGGGGCCGGTGGAAGCAACGGGCTTGCAGGTGGATAGGAACTGGGCGAAAAAGTCAGATCGGCAGTATCCGACATCCTTTGGGATGGCTGAGACACGGGAACTCCGATAGGGAGAGTCTTGTTGTAAGAGCGCCGGCGGGTGACCGATGTTGAGGGTGGGTTGTCAGGCAGAACAGCGTTGGCTGTCGACGACATGTAATCGGGGTTAGGCTGACGAATAAAACTGTCCTCGCCTGGTCGTGGGCGGTCATCAAAAGTGAAGACGGCAGTGCTCAGCTCAGGCGGCGTCAGAGGTGGTGCAGGAGGTGGTCGCGACATGACATGCCTGGACATGAGATTGTCTGTACTCTGCCAGTTGGGGTCGATGACCAGTTTCTTGTCTTCTTGCTTGGCGTGCAACATATCCTCAGGGGCCATATCCTCCTGGTTAGCAGGCGGCGTCATAGTCTTCTCATTCATAGCCCAAAAGGGTTGCGACTGAAGCCGTCGAGTATGCGACAACGATGAGATGGGTAGGGTATGCTGATCCAAGCCGCGCATCTGTCGCAACCATAGGTAGAGTCGCAAAACGCAAAAGCGTGCGATAACAGCAACAGCAAAGATTGCGAGGCCAGCTTGAAGAATCTGAAAGGAGGAAGACGACTTGTTCAAGTAGTTGCTCTGAGTTGACCTTGAGGTGGTGGTGTCAGGTGTAAGTTGTGTTACACCTCGATTAGTTACGGGCATGGTGCGTCGTTTATGTCAGTGATTGATTGATATATTCGCGGAAACTTAATTTTGGCGCCGTCGTTCACTTGGCGGGGCCAAAGGTCACTCTACTTTCTGCGGTCAGACGGTGACTTTCTGGGGGTATGCTTGCCCGTTGCGTTGACAATCCTCGTCTGGGCGGAGTCGACTATGTAGACAAGAAGGCTGGGCTGGGCTGAATAGACAGGGTTGTTGGCGGTTTTGAATCAGGTCGACCCAAGGCTATGCTTCAAACACCCGCGGTTAAGGGCGCTTGGTCAGAAAGAGAAAACGAGTTTTGTTTGGAGAAAAGCGGCGCCTGAGTAAGCCTTGTGTGTCTCCAGACTTTGGTAGTGGCTTGTATCAGATAGATTATCTGGTTGATGACTCGGTCACGAAGTAACTTCCGTCGCAAATCTCAACACTCAGTAGATGCTGGAGCTGATTAGGTCGACTTATACCAGGGGATCGCCGTCGGATTATTCCCCAGCAATGCGGGTATGGTAGATGGCCTCTTGGTCGTCCTTGGATCACCAAAGTGATGCTCGAGTTGTGATTGAATAGACAGGGCGTGGTGTGAAGCCTGTTATATGAGATGCATATAAGAGAAGTCAAAGGATCAAAGTGCAAAAGCAATATCGGCTATTTGTGTAAGGTTACGTAGCTGGGGGTACTGAGTCTTATATGATAGTTGTTCATGAACTGATGGAAACTCTCGAGTAAGGTCAATGTAGCAAGCCAAGCCAAGAGCATCACTTGATGAACTTCGGGCCCAATGTCGAAGGATAGTACGACACCCCTCTTCGAACACACCCTGCTCTTCAAGGGTCTGGGCTAGGAATATGGAGAAAATGAACATGGATTCTCTTTGCAAAGGAGCGGAAAGAAATGCTTCAGACAGCCTCTTTCAAAGGGGCTACTAATCGAGACTAGCTGTGGCTTCGGTCCCGGGACGTGGGTACAACGTTTGACTTGTAGGGGTGGCTTTGACAAGTGGAGTATTGATTTCTGGAGGTGTTGGAAGGATTTGAAAATGACCGAGTAAGTGTGCCTCTGGTTAAGGTTGCCCGAGTTCGAAGAAGCTGTCACTGAAGACATCAACAAGAGCTGCCAGTGGGACGAGCCTTTCGTTGATCGCTCCGTGCGACATTTTTGGCATGATCTCATGTGTAATTCAGAAAGGACCGGGGTTTTCATGATGAAACATTAATCGGGGGCAGGGAATGAGATCCTAGAAGCAAGTGTGAGATTGCAATGTCATCGCAAGCTGAGCCGGGCTGGATCGTGTCAATCAAAGTTGATCAAGGAAACTCGATGAACCGGGTGCTCCAAAAAGTCTCCAGCCATCAACAGCTGGTCATGGGGCCGTCGAATAAAGTCAGAGCAAATTGGTTGATGGGTCGTACTGGACCCCGAGGGCGTGTTGTAAGAGTCGTTTCCTGCAGTCTGCACAAGATTGGCATCCCTGTTTTCAGCCCGAGATTTCCAACGAAGGCGTCAGAGGCACAAAAGTCGCTTGGCCAAGCCGGGCGTCCCTGGGCCATGATGCCCCACGATCGCACTGCAATCTGCTTCGAGCCCCCAGGGCCCAAGCCCTGCAGATTAGTTGACTGACCAAACCCAAATCTGACCAGTTTGGCGAGGGAGTGACGCCAGAAGATGGGCTAAATTGAGCATTTTCAGCTGAGGTGAGCCCTACTTGTAGCGACGCCATGGACTAGAGACAGACCCCTGCGGCGAGCTTGTTCCAGACCAGGGGTGTATCTTAGCGGCCATTGGTTGAGCTAGATGGGACGATGTCAAGCCTTTGGCCTTTTGGGCAAGACAAGGCTACGTTAGTGGCATGGGAATCGGGCAAGTCTCAAGCCTCTGTAGAGAAGGAATCCCTACTGCATCTATCGAACCGTTTTCGAACGATCTAAGGCAGCGACAATTGGGTTGGTCCGACACGTACTGGCGCACAAGATCGACGAATGTGTCCACATCGCAATAGGGCTTCTCAAGAAGCTTTGCGAATCTGGATCGTCAGGCTGAGCGGTGTGGTACATTTATTCAATACTGGTGTAATGACGCCGACTATGTCCCTGCATGAGGCGCTGCCAATGCAACCTTGAACAACCGATATTTGTAGAGTAGCAGTAACGGTCGCGGTCATAAAGGTTATTACGAATTCTTTTGCTTCTTGGACACTTTCCCTGTCCACTGGCGGTGCAGGGCGCCTGACGAAACTGGAGTGGTCTCTCCGCGAGGAGAGACAGGCAAGCCCGCCTCCGCGTACTGTAGAAGATACTCCAGCAGCCAAGCCCAGTGGAAGTCATCATAGGAGCATCAATGGCGGGGCTATTGTTATTATTCGACTGCCTCTGCATTCGGTAGAAAAGGTGTAAGTGATATTGCATATGGAGCTAACCACGATGGTTGCCATGAACTTTTGTTGGGCTGGAAGAGTCTATGCAACTCGAATTCCCTTTGACTGGTGAAGCGCCTCATCATGGGTTTCTGCGTCGTTTCGGGAGCTTCTTTGTAGGCTGAGAGGGTCTCGTATTGGAATCTGTTCGTTTGATAGGTTTCTTGGTCCAAGCATGCCTGTGCTAAATGATGACGATTAATGAGCATTTCTCCCCGATTTGATGCATCATAAGGACGTGTCGCGTGGCTGTATACCACCCATGCCACGCGGAGATCGATGCCTGCCGCTGTACAAGACACGGCACGACGCGGGACAGCATGTCATTGCAGCTGGAAGTGCTTGCTTCCGAACTAGAAGGTTGAGTTTTGGTCAATGCATCCATCGATGGATGGAGATCCCCGTCCTCCCGATATCGTTGCCCTTGGGCTGTGGAGGATGCTCTTGTCTTGGGGATCGTCCAGTGCAGTCTCGATTGTGACACTGAAAGGAACCGACCCAGCTGAAACCATGGAACCGCGACACGTGATTGGATACAAGAATGGAAGGAATGGGACCGCCTTCCCTTGTTTGGCGCCGGGCTTGCAAGGGGCGCCTGAAACTTGACGTTCACACCCAACCACGGAAGGAAGGAGACCGACCACATTGTATGTACAAGTTAAAGGTTGCCGCTTAGATCTTGCTTTATCGAAAAACTCAACCAAGGACGTGACTCGGTTCGTCAATGTATTGCATGATGCATGATGCATCCGTACTGTATGTACTATCATGACAAGGATTCGCAATTATGATATCGCCGCGCATTATTGCCCAGCGTCACATTGCATTGCGAAGCGACGGTTGGCTGTGGTCGTCTCCGAATACCCTCTCTTAACTCGGCTAGGTTCTGACATTCAGTCCAAGCAGTTCGAAGCCTGTTTGATTACTTATTTCCAATACCGAACGGGCCGTCGCATGCTAGTTCATGATATCTCACAAGCCACACAGACGCATGGTTCAGGTTGACCGTCAATATAACATTGTCTACAACAATTCATCAGTCTCGGCCAAGCCAATGTCTCTCTTTTTCCCTGCTGGCGCTTTAGACCTTCTCCAGCGTTTCGGTAGCCAATCATAGACCCAGGATCGGCGACGGCGGTAACCTTGCCCAGCTGGACTCATTGTCAATACGATGGGTCTGGGCTTCTGTCAAGGGCCATGGAAGTGAACTGTCAGTTGCCATCAAAGAGAGTCGCGGGTAAACCGCTAACAATAAATGTTTATTCAGGCTCCCCTTACCTCCCGCAGAATCTCGGACTCAGCAGCTTCCTGCCGAGTCAGTCGTGACTACGAACATGAACCCACCCCAGGGTAAACCGATACCCTACTGTTTTCTAGAAGCCACATTAGGGCGTCTCGTCGCATTGCAAGAGATGCGGCTGCGCCGCATGCAACGCAATCTCTTTCGCTAGGTACCAAGGCTCAGGCCGAATTGAAAAAAAGGTTCACCTTGAGGCCAGTGAAAATACGAGGGTGAACCCCGTCTTTACAAACATCAATGGGACAACCCCGCGCGTTCCGAAGAGCCCCTTTTCATTCAGAGAGGTGCATGCAATCCTACTCTGAATGGGTTTTCAGCCGTGATGGGATTCGTTTCCTACATCATCATGCTTGCTTGGCCAAAGTGCACATCAAGCAACGATCTTCAGATACGCATCGGTAGCGTTTCCATTGGGCTGTCTGGGGTGGTGGCCGAGATTTCTAGCGTTCTTATACGATGATTATCGCCTGCGATTTGATGATGACAAGACAAGGATGCAATGCGAGTCCTATGCTTTCTCTCCATGTGGGTGGCTGTCTTGCGCTCTTGCAGTATGGTTGTGGCTGTCTTACAGGTTGTGGATGCAACATACGCCGCATCTCAACACAACGTCGATTTTCGCAAAGTGCAACAGGTAGTCTTCCTCTCATACAACCCTGGTCTCGGCAAGTACCTCTAGCAGAAATATCGGCCGCTCTGCAACTTAATCAGGCGGAATCCTTTCCTTCGTGGATCCACGCCGACATTCTGACGGGGGATGCAAACTCCGCCATTTCGTCCTGGCCTGGCTCTGGGACTAACAAGAGCTCCTAGCCACTCTTGGTCAGTGTTCAAAAATAGCACCCTGTTCAGCCTTACGAGCCAGTCCCCACCACCTTGGTCAATATCCTTGTCAATGTCACATTCAAGTTCAGTCAAATCCTCGCCAACCCTGCAAAACAAACAACTACTGGCGGAGAACCTCCTACGGATACGGAAAGCTCCTTCAAATCATATCAAGTATCACAGATATATACCTTGTCTAGGACTTTTCTCCCTCTCTTCTTTGGAACCAATGCTTTATGCGTACAGGGTATAATATCCGTCTTATTCCACTTCTTGGTCTTGAGTCATCCATCGCCATCGCTCGAATTGCCTTTTTGAGAGTTGGCAAACTGTTGCCTCCAGCCTCGTGTTTGAACGTGGGCCTTGCTGACAAGGAAATGACTTACACAAGTCTGACTGGCGCAGCACGACAAAAATACAAAATGGAGAACAAGCTCGGCGCAATTCTCCAGCAACGGATTGCTCGGC